TTGAGTCTAAAGCCAGAACTGTGTAAGCTTTCCTTTAATTCCCTTCCATAAATCAGAAGCTTTGCTGGGTGGGGTCCTGCCCTGAGGTCACCTCTCCCTTTATTCCATTTAGCCTCAGGCTTTTCTATAAACTTTGTATTCCCTGAACACTGGACTTAGCTCCATTGTATTTCCTGGTGCTCCTCCCAAACTGTGTATTTAGTATTCATTCTTGCCTCGCTTGCACCTTTCCATTGTAGACCTGCAGACGAGTGACCACTAGTGACCACATGCTACAGTCAATACCAGGCTGTCTTGAAATCTCTGCCAGTGCTGTTAACCCAAAATTCTTCAGTTTAGCCTCAGGCAGATTTTTAGGACAAGGGCAAAAATCAACCATGCTCTTTGCCAAAATAACACAAGAATGGTCTCTAGGGTACTTGCTAATATTCTTTCCCTCTGAAGCCTCTTGATCTGGCCCCCACAGTTCAAATCACCCTCTGCATCACTGTCTTCCATGCTCCTGCTAGTATGGCTCACTGAGCCCTGTTTAAAGCAACCAATCTCTTTTCTAGCTCAGGACTGTCACAGCAGTACCCCAGTCCCTGGTACCAATTTCTGTCTTAAGTCACTGTTCTGTTACTAGAAACACCACGCATGACCAAGGCAATTCTGACAAAAGAAAGCATTTAATTGGCGGCTTGCTTACAGTTTCAGAGATTTAGTCTATTGCCCTGGTGGCAGGGAATGTGGTGTTGAAGAAGGAGCTAAGAGCGATTTCCTAATCCATAGGCAGGGAGAGGAAGAGAGGGGAGGAGGGTGGGGGTCTAGAGGAGGCGTAGTTGGAGGGAGATGAGACCCTAGGCCTGGCTTGGCCTTTTGACATCTCAGAGCCCATTCTCAGTGACACACTTCTTCCACCAAGGCCACACCTCCTAACACTTCTCAAATAGTGCCCCTCCCTGGTGACTAAGCATCTATGAGCCATCCTCATTCAAACCACCACACGCTGTTGCTGTTCGGTTGTCTCCTGGGTCCAGGCACTTCACTGCAGCCTAGAGATCCATTAATGACAGCAGTATGAGGTGGTGGTGATCTGAAATCACTGCTCCTTCTTTGTAAAGGGATTGGGAAAGCTCTGTGAAGAAAACCTTCCATTCGTTAAGTGTTTGATTATGTTGCCATTTCAACAAAACTCAATTACTTTTGTGATTAGACAGTTAAAGTGAACACTGGTTGTTTTATCCAAAACCAGATGAAGTTTAGATTAAAAAATAGCATTTTGCTCTAAAAATAATCTTAGCATGACAAAGTTCCTTAGTGCTTAAAGTCTGCTTGTAGCCTTGTCAGTAGGATGGGGGCTTTAGGGAAATACAGTGAGAGAGGAGGTCATGCCGTAGCTTTTATAATGAAGTCCCTCCTCTAGAATTTCCCTCCCCTGTCCTTGTAGCCTCCTGCGTCTAAGCAGGTGGTCTAGTACAAGTACAGGTTTGGCCTCAGTCCCTAGAATGCTTTTTAAAAAATTTTAAACCTTTTTCATATAACATATTGTGATCATATTCTTTTCCAACTCCTCCCAGGTCCTATCCACCCAATTTCATGTGCTCTCCCTCTCTCTCAGAAATGAACAGGAAAAAACAACAATAACAAAAACCAGAAATCAAAATAGACAAACTTTAAAAAAAAATAAGTCAATGAAACAAACAAACAAAAAAAGCCAAAACAAAACAAAACAAAACAAAAATAAACAGCCAAACCAAACAACAGTAATGAAAAACCTTGCTGGTCGATGGTGGCGCACATCTTTAATCCCAGTGCTTGGGAAGCAGAGGCAGGCAGATCTCTGTGAGTTCAAGACCAGCCTGGTCTACAAGAGCTAGTTCCAGGACAGGCTCCAAAGCCACATTGTAACGAGTACGGTTTTTCTGCCCGCTGCCGCTAGTCTTGTCCCGCCGCCATGCCGCCAGCCCCAAATAATACACAGAGACTTTGTATTTGGTATTATACTGTTGGCCTGGTTACTTGTTTCTTATCGGCTAGCTCTACCTTTAATTATTAACCCATTTGTGCTGATCTATGTATTTCTCTTACCAGGGAGCCGACAGCATACTCCTTTCTCCAGACTCTCCATCTTGGCTTTCTTTACTACTTCCTATTTCCTCCTTGTCTCCTAGTCCCTCCTATCTTCCTTTCCTATTGGCCAACAGTACTTTATTATTAACCAGTATGAGAAACATATACAGAATGACATCTCCCATCACCACATCATTCCTATCATGTCTGGTGTGAGTCTGTGCAGGTCTTGTGCACTCTCACAGCCTCTGAGAGTTCGTATGTGTGCATCAGCCCTGTGGTGTCTGGAGGATGAAGTCATCCACCACCTATGACTTCCAGTCTTAGACGCAGCCAGTAAGGAAGGCTGATGGATTGTCCATCTGGATCTCGGTGCAGGCACAGTCTGTTCTGTCCTGATGTCCTGCATGTTGTGGGCTGCCTGGGTTTCCCTGCTGTTCACATGATGTATCTGTCATCTGACCTGGAGCGGGGAGTCCTCCCATGCTTTCTGTGGAACTTCCAGTTCTTCTTATGAGAGGGGAGGGGGACCAAGATGAGGGCTTTTCTTCTCTGATTGTCTTTGACAACTTTTTTTCCTATTTTCACCAAGTCTGTATTCTTCACATGCCACTGCCACAGTGATCTTCCCCAAACACTGCATGCTGTTTCCTCTTATTTACTAAATCCATTGACATTAAATCCAACTGCCCTTCTTTTCTTGGCTTTTTTAATTCCTGAATTTACTTGCTCAAGCCAGTGTTGAGGTTTCTTCCTAGTGGTGTTTGTTTTTGTTGTTACAGGGTTTATGTCACCCAGGCTAGCCTTGAACTCCCTAGGTAGCCAAAGATGACTTTGAACTTCTAGTCTTCCTGCTTCTGCCTCCCAAGTGATGGGAGTCTAGGCAGGCACCACCACTCATGGTTTCTGAAGTGCCAAAGACCAAAGCCAGGGAGGGCTTCAAGCGAAGGAACCAAGGACTCTTTCAGTTGGACTGCAACCGCAGCTTCTCAAGTCACCTTCTTTTAGTTTTTGTTTGCTAACATCTGTTAAAGTGTCACCACAGGAAATAAGTATGTGACTAGAAATGTATAGAAGTATCTAGACTATTTCTCTTCTTTGTCCCTTTTTTTTTTTTTTTTTTTTGTAATCTTAAAAACCTACAAAATCATATTGTTGTATAAGCACTCTAAAATGTTTGGTCTCAAGATCCAGTTACTAAAACCATGACTTATTAACACCCAACATGTAGAATGATGGCTCCCAATAAAGGATAGCCTCCCACAAAATATTAAATACACCTAAATAGTTTTGTTTGTCACAACTGGCGGACTGCTGTCATTCAGGGGTAAAGGTTACAGTTGCTGCTACCCATAACACAGACCAGATAACAAAGACTCACCTATTCCCAAATGTCAGTCAAGGTGCCAAGTCCAAGAAATCTGATATAGAATTAGCAGCTCTGTGTGTGTGTGTGTGTGTGTGTGTGTGTGTGTGTGTGTGTTTTGCCAGTGTATGTGTGTGCGCAAGTGCATGTGTGCTCATGCCTGCCTGCCTCTCTGTGTATCTGTGTGTCTCTGATGTATAGTATCTACATGCATCTGTGCAGTTTACCTGCTTAGGATCCTTCTTTTATTTTTAACTTTTATTTTTGGTTTTTCGAGACAGGGTTTCTCTGTGGCTTTATAGGCTGTCCTGGAAGTAGCTCTTGTAGACTAGGCTGGTCTCCAACTCACAGAGATCCGCCTACCTCTGCCTCCCAAGTGCTGGGATCAAAGGGTGTGCACCACCACACCCGGCTAATTTGATTTTTTTAAAACACACACACACACCCCAAGGCAGTCATGGACTTGATTCCTATTCTGTATTTTCAGTTTCTCTGCACTGCATGTGGCTTCCTCATATTCTATTCTTACAGTTCTGTCCTGTTCTCTTTTCCTTTGTTTCTGAGAAGGGTTTCACATGGTGGTCCAGCATGTTAGTTACTTTTCTGCTGCTTTGATTATTCTGTTTTGGTTTTTTTCCTTTGTTTCTGAGGAGGGTTTCACACAGTGGCCCAGTGTATTAGTTACTCATCTGTTGCTGTGATAAAACACCACAACCAAGGCAACTTGCAGAAGGAGTTTATTTGGGCTGTGGCTCCAGAGGATTCAGAGTCCACCACATCAGAGAGGCAAGGCAGCAAGCAGCAGGCATGGTAGCAGTGGCCGGAAGCTGAGAGCTCATGCCTGCAATTGCAAACAGGAAGCAGGGAGAGGGAACTGGAAGTGGGAAAGAGTTATAATCTGAAACCCCACCCACAGAGCAGATTTCCCAACAGCAAGACTGTCCACCCAAGCCTGTGGGGGACATTTCCTTTTCAAACCAACACACGCATTTCTGAAGTCACAGTCAGGGCTACATTAGGGGTGAATGGTGCCAGATCTCAAGGCCCACAAATGTGTAGGTCTTTACTTTGCCCCTGTTCTGCAGAAGTTGTTTGTGTTTAAAACTGAACTAACCTTAGGAATAGTAAAGGTGAGTTGGTTACATCCTTATGTAAATAAATGTCCATTATTCCCGAGGTCTCATGCACTCACTGCTTGTCTGTTAGTTTATGTGTTGGGTTGTGTGGGGATGACTGAAGAGTTCTTGTGTATGATTGCCTCAGTGGTTTTATAGGTCGAGAATCTCGCTTTTAGTCGGAGGGTTTCACTGAGTTCTTTTTTATTGAATGATTAGGAAGTGTCTGTTGCAATCATTTGCTGTTTAGTAACACAGCTGGAGCTGGCTGGCCTCTGTAAGTGCCTGTACATGCAGCTTTATTGTGCAGGTTGCCTGAGGACTGCAAAGCTGGTCTACAGAGTCTCAGTGTGTCCCTCGCTGCCATCTAGACTTTCACCTACCCTTTAGAGTGTGGGTATCTCAAACTTGCGCATGTAATCACTGTGAATGTAACGCCTGTCGTGTGGTCTTTTTCTTCTTAACAGAGGGAAATGCAGCGTTGCCCTGCTGAATGAGACAGAGTCGGTGCTGTCCTACCTTGACAAAGAGGTAATTTGCAGTCATTTTCATTTTGTGTTTTCTCCCCATTACTTCATGTGAAACCCATACCTTGAACTTTATTTCCTTTTGTGCCTGAGTGTTATTGTGTCATTCCAACAAGAGGACACTGACTGGAGTGCATTTGGGCAATTGCATTGCCCTGGCTGAAGGTAGAGTGGTAGCTCTTTATCACTTGCTAATGAGAGGCTTGTTGGAGTTACATGCAGCTCAGGGTGTAGATGAGGATGCTCATCTCTGATTCTCACTCCTTCTCTCTATGGTCTATTTTTGAATAAATAACTCACGCGCTGGTGGCTCTGCAGAATTCATAAGAACAGGCAGCCAGGGCACTGTGCTTATTAACTCTAGGACACTGGAGCCTTTTTGTTTGTTTATATTTAAAAATTAATTTATTAGGTATGTATGTGTATGTACCTGTCCACATGCACGTGTATGTGATGAGAGGGGGCGGACATAGATGCTACCGTATGTATATGGAGGTCAGAGGACAACTTGGTGCAGTCATTTCTCTCCTTCTGCCCTTTTATGTGGGTTCAGGGGATCAAACTCAGGTGGGTAGTCTTGGGCTGTAAGCTCTTCTACCCTCTGAGCCATCTGATGGCCCTACTGAGCTTTTGAAGGAACCAATGGAGTAGGCTGGTGGTGATCATGTGTGTCTATACAGGACTATGCATTACAGTTTAAAAAGGGTGAAAGAATTATAATAGTAATCACATGGGATTTGTATAGTGATATTGACCAGCCACACATAAGGGTGCTAGAGAGATGACTCAGTGGTTGAGAGCACTTGATGCACTCGCAAAGGACCTGGATTGAATTCTTAGCACCCACATGGTAGCTCACAGCCATCTGTAACTCTAGTTTCAGGGGACCTGGTGCCCTTTGCAGGCCTCTGGGCTCCATGTGTGTACGTGATGCGCGGGCATACATGATATATGCAGGCAAACATTGGCGCGCATAAAAGAAAAACAAACAAATCTTAAAAAATAAACAACATGCAAGCTCCACTCTTGTATTCTAGTCAATATGCTGGGTGTTTGTCTCTGAGACAGTCTCACCATGTACCCCTGGCTGGCCTGTAACTCAAAGAGATCCTCCTGCCTCAGCCTCCCTGCTAGCCATCCCGGCAAGCCTCTCAGAGCTCTGTCTGGGGTAGTTAACGGCTTTCTTTTATATTAAAACAAATTATAAAATATTATATTCTTAGGGTTATTTGTTTTGGTTTTGTGTGATTTTGTGCTATGGTACGTGATGGCAGTATTGCCGTGTTCTCCTTGAAGATTTATTAATTTGTTCACTACAATGAAATTTTACATACTCAGAAATTAAAGTTACAATTTTCATTTTTGTGATATTGATTTGGCTGCTTTATAAAAAGTAGAAGGACTTCAGCTTACTTGGTTGTTTTTTTGTCCTTTCCCCCCCACAGGATGCCTTCTTCTACTCATTGGTGTATGACCCTTCAGTGAAAACTTTATTAGCCGACAAAGGCGAAATCAGAGTGGGCCCAAAGTATCAGGCTGACATTCCAGACATGCTACCAGAAGGTTTGTGCTTTGACTTTAAGTCCAGGGAAGCTGGCGTCTTAAAACATGAAGGTTCTTGTCCTCGGGGAAGAAGAATGTAAAGGCAGAGTCTAACAGTTTCAGAAGCATAATGAGCGTCAGAGAATAATATACACGTTGGTTTACTCCGTGACTTCACACTTGTTTGTTTTCATGGGTGTGTTTTGTGTGTGTGTCCCACATGTGTATGTATGTCTGTGAGTGTGGGGTGTGCTAGGCCAGGGGTCAACATTGGGTAGGGGTCTGTCTTTTTATCTTTTGGTTCAGGGTCTTTAACTGAGCCGGAGCGGCTGGCCAGCAAGCACCAGGGATCCCCCCATGCCTCCTCCTTGCGATGCACTGCATGTGTGCACTGCTGTGCCCAACTCCTGTTTATATATGGGTGCTGGGGGTAAAAGTGAGACCCTTGTGTTTGTGTGGCTAGCACTTCGCCCACTGAGTCATCTTTTAGGCTCTATGGCTGTTTTTTAGCTTTGTACTGTTGGTGAGTACCAGGACAGGTGTGGTGGCACATGCCTTTACGTACTTGGGAGCCAGAGGCAGGGTGATCTGTGTTTGAGGGTAGCCTGATCTACAAGTGCGTTCCAGGCCAGCCTACCAAGGCTGCACAGACACTGTCTTAAAACAACAACAACAACAACAACAAAAACAATAAAGCTAAAAAACCTCATGTTGTTGAATTCCATTTAATGTGCGATTCACATTCATTCATGTTCTCCCTCTCATTCTCTGTATTCCCACCCCCACCCCACCCCACCCCTCCTTGGAGGATCAGGCTTTATTTTTGTTTGTTTATGTTGGTTGTGGGGTTTTGTTTTTTTGGGGTTTTTTTGTTTGTTTGTTTGTTTTTTTGTTTTTTTGTTCCCTAGCTTTCCTGAGATCATTGCCTGGCAAGAACCTTCCTTCTGATTAATATCTGTTAGGGAAAAGGGCCTTAAGCATTAACAACAGATGTCTAAAGTCATGAACATGAGCCTGGTATGGATGTATGCTTGGAAACCCAGCCCTTGGGAGGCTAAAGCAAGAGGGTTGTGGGTTTCATACTGAATTACATGGCAAGATTATGCCTTGAAAATGAAATCAACAGACACAAGTCTGAAACAAACCAAGGCACTGCCACCACACAGCAGTGTAGAGAGTGTAGCTGCAGGACCAATGAACAGTAGAAAGCGGTGTATTTGGGAACAATTGTTTAGGACTCTGCAGTTCCAGCCTTCTGAGCCCGATCATAGTCTCCAGTGGAAGCTTTTTGACCAGTGGCCAGATCACAATTTGCATCGGAATAGGAAGTGAGTCTGGAGCAATATCCTGGGTAGGTGCAGCAGCAGTTTGCCCGAATCTGGTAACAGGCTTGCCTTCTTTGTGCACGCATCCTAATGGACTCTAGAAGACAGTTGTGGTATTTTAGGGTTCATTTAAGGCTCACCATCCTTTAGCAAACACTTCATATCTGGGATGATGAGTATTCAGCTTGAAAATGAAGGTAAAGATTCGATTTTAAATATTTCATTAAATTCAAATAGACTACCTGGTGTGACTTTTCCATGGAAAACCACGTCATGTAGGAAGTTTAGAATTATTATTTAAATGTATTAGAACACTAGAATTTGAAGAAAGAAGTCTGTTCTATAGATGATATTTTAAACTGCTAAATGGTTAAACTAAGATGGATCCTGGATGCCCAGATTTTGGTAAAACATGGGTAAAAGTGTCTGATTATAGTCTTGGGAACTAGTTAGACCCATCTGACGGGGTCTTTCTCTTTAAAGAAAGGTATGTGGGCCAGCAAGTGGTGGCGCACTCCGTTAATAAGAGGTTCTCTGTGAGTTCAAGGCCAGCCAGGGCTCCACAGAGAGACCCCATCTCAAAAAACCAAAAAGAAAGAGAGAAAGCGTATGTGGTGGAGTGTGAATTCCCAAGAGTCTCCTCCTTTGAGAGCTAAATAATTAATTTGTGTGTATTACGTATTTTAGAAACAAGATCGCCTCACCTGTAGTCATGAAATGGGAAACTATCAGCAGATAGTGTAGAGCAGTGTCCTTCCAGTGGGCTTTCTGAGGAGCACCTCCACCCAGCACAGGCCTGCAGGAGGCTGGTTTTGTGACCACACCCCCCACCACCACCACCACGCTCCACTGTGGAAGAGTTACATGGGCAGCTTGGCTCTGCAAAAGAGGAAACACTCCTGCACCTTGGATTCAGTTTTTAATTTCACTGAAACTCCAGCTCATTGGCCAGAATCTCCAGCTCATTGGCCTCCAAGGGTCGAGGTTTAAGGAGATAAAGATCAACAGACCTTTGTGCTCTGTGCAAATGTCAGTGGAGCCTTCGTTGTTGGCAGCGGTTCAGTTATGGCCCTTACTGTTTACTCCTTTAAATGCACCGAGGACAAGTCCCCTAGGTCTTGAAAGTTCCATCCATTTCCCCATCAACCTTGTGGTTGTCTTCTCTCTCCCTCTCTTTCCCTGATGAACTAACTGCACCCCCAGCTCAACTGTGTTGTTTGCAATGGCTAATTTCGTAGATGCAGATCTCTCAGCACTGTGTTAGGAATCTCATGCTGCAAACAGGGAAAAAGCTAAAGCCTGGTACCAACTTGGTGCCCTAGTCTCTAGGAAAGAGACTTCACAGTTTGTTTTGGTTTGTTTTTAAGCAGGATCTCACTATGTAGACCTAGCTGGCTTGGAGCTCATTCTGTAGAGCAGGCTGGCCTGGCACTCACAGAGATCCACTTACCCCTGCCTGCGCAGTGCTGGGATTAATGGTGTGTGCCACCATGCCCAGCTTCACACAGTTTTTTTTAAAACTCATTTAACTGCTTTGCAGGAGAGACTGGAGCCAAATCAGTGATGGGCAGGGCCACACCTTGACCACACACCTTGGCCAATGGGCTTAGCCATGCTTAACTGTGGCCCTCTGCTTACACCAGCATCTCTGGTTAGGACCATGAAGATGGACTTAGAGGGGCACTGAATAATAATAATAATAGTCTTGCTTTGAATTTGAGTATAAGCAGATATACATTGTAGACTTATAAAACATGTCAATGACTGGACAAATTTGTCCCCTAGGAAACATTAGGCAATGTATAAATGTCATTGTGATATTGGGGAAGAAAGTAGGTAGGTGATATTCTATAGGCATACCTTAGATAAAATCCCCTGATGCTGCCAAACATGGGAGAATGCACAGAATGTATTCAGCCCCAATGGTCCAGTGTCTAGTGTGAGAAAATCTGCTATAATGGCTTCTTGGGACATTGTAATTGTTCAGTGTCAGTTATTATTTATATGACAGTAGTACTTATAATTTTAAATGTATTAATTTTTGTATTTTTTGAGATAGGGTGTCATGTAGCTTTGGTTGGCTTCTTCCTACCTTCTTCATCTCCCAAGACCCAGAAATCCACCAAGCCTGGATTTATGTGGTACTGGGACTGGAACCCAGGGCTTAGGGCACGTTAGCAAGCTGTGCCCCCAGTCCCTCTTTTATTGACACTTTTCTTTTTGTGGTATTGGGGATCAAACTGAGATCAACATCGTTTGGTTTACTGTTGCTTTCTATTAGAATCCTGTTCAGAGTTAATCCTATTTCTTGTTAGCTTAGTAGTATTTGACTTGTAGATTAATGAAATAATTTATCTACTCCTAAAATTAAGTTCTTATAAATTTATCCTATGCAAGAATTGTACAAAGATGGTATCAGAAAGACTTAACACTTCACTGTTTATTTATTCAAATCATCTTTTCTTTGGAAGTTCTAATAATTATATAAATATCCTGCCAATGTTATTTGAATTTCTTATTTTTATTGTTACAATGAATGTGAATTTTTTCTTATATTATAGTTTCTTTGGAAATTTCACTGAGCTTTTTGTATTTATATTTATGATGCTATTCTAGTAACTTATTATTCCTTTGATTCACATTCCCGTATATCATCCAGAGCAATATTCAACGAAAATGGTGATAAATGGCATCCTTGGGTGTTTCTGATTTAAATATAACATAAAAATTGCCAGGCAGTGGCAGCTGGTACAACTAAGATGAATTTTAGTTAGGAAGCGGGTATTTCCAGTTGTCGAAGAAAAAAAGGGCTTCTAGGATGTATGGTACAGCCTTGGTCCTTCCACCTGGGAGTACCACTGGGTGCTTGTGAGGCCTATACCAAAGAAATGGTTGTCTCTTTAAGCACATTTCTGGATCTATGTTTCTCCAGCTTTGTGTGGAAGAGAAAAGAAAAGAAGTGGGCAGCTATACAGTCTTGTAATTAGTCTTCTGTTGTTGGGATGGTGCCTCATTGTGTTATCCTGACTGGCCTGGAACTTACATCCCTTCTCCTGCATCTACCTCAAAGTGGGATTATAGTCGTGCATGAGCACACCTGGCCTGGGGTCTCAGGAGATGTCAGCTGATGCTGATGGTGATACGTGCCGTAGAGTTGGTTCTCTGGTATCACCATCTCTGCACATCTCTGCCGTCAAAGGGTGCACCCAGATGTGACCACTGTTTACCTGACACTTGAGTGTTTCTGACATGTTAGTGACCATGGTCGTCTGCCGTATGCCATGGTGTGGATAACAGTGCCCCCTTTCCTTTGTTTTTTCTCAGGAGACTCAGATGAGAGGGAACAATCCAAATTGGAAGTTAAAGTTTGGGATCCCAATAGTCCACTTACGGACCGACAGATTGACCAGTTTTTAGTTGTAGCCCGGTGAGTATGCCATTATACAGTCAAGTCTTGTTATGAAACAATTAATACTTGTGTATAGTCCCTTTTTTAAAATAAAAATGTTATTTTATTTTGTATGTATGTGTATTTATGTGAATGTATGTGTATGTACTGTATGTGTAACTTTTGCTTTTGGAGACCAGATGAGGGTATTGGATCTCTTAGAACTAGAGTTACAGACAGTCTGCTGAAAACCAAACCCAGGTCCTCTGTGAGAGTGGCAATCTCTACAGCCCCCATATCCTTCTTTCCTTCCTTCCTTCTTTCCTCCCTTCTCCTCTCTCCCTCTCTCCCTCATTTGCTTTCTCCCTCCCTCCTTATTTCTTTAAGACAGTCTCTCTGTGTAGCCCTGCTGGTTTTGAACTTACAGAGATCTTTCTGAGGACTAGGATAAAAAATGTCCTCCATCATGTCTGGTATATATCTTTCTTCATATTCCAGCCCCCACCCCATTGGTTGAATTTTTCTAGACCTGTGAGAAAACCCACTCTCTAGTTACATTGTCCACTAGTAAGGTGATTTACTGTTGTTAATTAGTTATAAGTGAAAACATTTAATTTAAATAAGAAGTGGTAGAAAGACTGGGGTAGAGTACTTGCTTGCCTAGCCTGTAAACATCCTAGGTTTAATCCTCAGCACTGCTAAAAGCCTGAGCCAGCAACAGTAACAAAAAGGATAGGCTTAACGTAAATGAGTATTGTAGGCTTAATGGAATACTATGTATATTTAAAAAAAAAAAAATAGAAGCACAAGGAAGGAAGTGCACACCCAAATCCCAGATCTTCCATGAAAGAAATGCTCTTTATCTGGGACATTGCTGAACCCTAAACTGGATTATTCAGGTGCCAATACAAATTGTCACTCAGCCCAGGGGTGGCAGAACACACCTGTTATCCCAGTACTTAGGAGGTGAAGGCAGAGAAATCAGGACTTGATCATAATGAGTTTGAGGGTAGCCTGAGCTACCTGAGACTGTCTCAAAAACAAAACAAAACAAAAAATAAATAAATAAAAAACCCAAAAGTTCCAGAATGAGAGGGAGAAGAGGGTAGAGGCCGCGTGAGGCTGTGTAGAAAGGGGGCTGCTGCTTGCACGGGGCTTGCCCCGAAGGCTTCATTGCCTTGCTTTCCCCCCTGGCTCTTAAGCAGTGAGTAGGGGCAGGATTTTATTTTTATTTCTTCAATTATAAAAGTAAATGGGGCTTGTGAGGAAAACTGCCACAAAAGAGAAAGTGAATGAGATGAACATACCATTGTTAACGGTAGATAAGTTAGGAAAAGCCCTCAATGGACACCAGAAGTCAACTGATGAGTGAATGAGGTTATACACTGGTTGAATGGGATAGTACTTTATATCCATTAAAACGAGAGAATTTGAATTTGTGTAACAAAGATAAATCCTCAGTATTGAATGAAGGTCCACAAAGTATGATTGTTTATGTGTTTATACTGCATTAATTTTATTTGAAAAGACCAATGTAGTATGCAAACTGTTTTATTTCATTAATGGATATATTGCACATTAAGGCTATAAGAGACTGCAACCAAATGTATAATGTTTACTTTTTCACATGAACCAGACATGGCAAAATATTAGAATCAGTTCAACCCAAATAATGGGCAGAAGGGTCTTTGTGATAGTCTCTTATTTTCTGTTGAAATAGTCCTAGAAAGTCTTTAGACAGTCTTATTTATAAGGACCACAGCAACACTTATAAGGAAAACATTTAATTACAGTGGCTCACAGTTTCAGAGGTTCAGTCCATTATCGTCGTAGTGGGGAGCATGGTGGCAGATGTGGTGCCGAGGGAGTAGTGGACATTCGTACATCTTACAGGCAGTATAGGAAGTTGACTGAAACACTGGGTGGCACCCTGAGCTTAGGAGCAAGGCCCGCCCCCATGGTGACACACTTATTCCAGAAAGGCCATACCCACTCCAACAAAGCCACGCCTCTTGATAGTGCCACTCCCTATGAGATTATGGGGACCAGTTACATTCCAACTACTACGGGGTTCCTATGCTGACAGCGGGGTGACTGGATGGAGGCATTAGGTGCATATTGCTGGGACCGCAGGCGGCTCGTGGAGCAGGAAGCTAGAGTAGGAAGAAGCAATGAGCCATGGGCATGGTCTGGCCTTTTGCTCAGGGAAACTTCTGAGTGGTTTGTTGTTGGGTGTTGGGGAGACATGCGGCTTTCCAATTTTATTTATATATATATATATATAAATTTTTTTTCTTTCTCAGACTATTTGCTATCCACATTTATGAAACCTGAAGGAGGGATTTTTGTTTGTTTCTTTGTTTGCTTTTTATAAAAACTACTTTAAAGGGCTGGAGAGATGGCTCAGAGGTTAGTAACACTGACTGCTCTTCCAGAGGTCCTGAGTTCAATTCCCAGCAACCACATGATGGCTCTCAACCATCTGTAATGAGATCTGGTGCCCTCTTCTGGCGTGTAAGCATACATTCAGGCAGAACACAGCATACATAATAAAACTTAAAAAATTAAAAGAAAAAAAACTACTTTAAAATGGTTAATTAAACAAGCAAACAAACAAACAAAAAACCCAAATACCAAATGTAAATAAAACCGATTGTTTTTAGTTTTGGGTTTTTTGTTGTTTTAAACAGAGCCTCGTTCTCTATAGAAAACTGGCCTCAAACTTGTACCAATCCCCCTGTCTCAGCTTCCTGGATGTTATGAGTACAGATTGGTGCAGTCGGCATTGTGGCGTTGTCTTGTCCGCCTGGTGGGACTGTCAGCTGGTACAGCTGCTTTGAAAACCTGTTTGTTCTTGCCTCCCACACATCCTGTAAGGGTTACTGCTCATCACACTCAGGAGAAAAGCATCCTGGGTACTGGAAGTTGTGCATACAAATGGCTTTAATAGCAGCATCTACAACCTGTGGTACTGTCTGTCTAGTTGAAGAGATGGAGGAGGAAATAGAAGAGAATGCCATTCCAGAGACAATTTATTAATATCTCCAGCTAACAACTTAGATGACTTTCAAATGAGTAAACAAGAGAGCGAGAGAGAAAAAAAAAAAAAAAAACCTGTGCACCCAGGTGTGGGGCCTATAACAGATTTGTAATTCAGTGCTTTGGAGGCCAAGACCAAGGATTTTGAGTTTGATAGCAGTCTGGGCTACATCGTTCCTGAGCCAGCCGTATCTCAAAACAGCAACAATATGTCTACTACTATATGTGGTTTCATGTCAACAAAATTAATCTGTGGTCTTTGCCTCCTGGTGGTATCGGTCAAGAGTGATGGTGCGCATCTATAATCCCAGCACTTGGGAATCCAAGATGGTGTCACAGGCTAGCCTCAGCTCCCTAGCGAGACACTGTCATGGTGTCTTGTGATTTTTGTATTTGTAGTTGTTAGCTTTTGCTTGTTTTGTATGAAACAGAGTCTCACTATGTAGCCCTAGCTGGCCTGGAACTCACAGAGATCCTCCTGCCTCTACTCCTGGATGTTGGTTCCTTTTGGGGACAGAGTGGGAAAGGGTCGGCCACCTTCTTTTTCCTCACTTGGGTGTTGCTTGAACGCTGAACATATTCATTTTGTGAGAACGGAATATCGGTATAGTGTGGTAGGGTTTGCTTTTTCATACATGGAGGAAGTCTTCCCCAGCTATGCTGTCCAGGAAAGCAGGCAATCCATGTATCCTGCACCTCTTGGGGTTAAGGTTCCTTGAATACAGAAAGGATCTATGTAGTGAGATAGTCCTTCTGTGGCACTGACCACGCCCATTGGGGGTGGAGCCATGGGCGGAAGTGACCTGTGGAAGGAGGTCGGAGGGGGCGAGGAAGGCGCTCTCTTTCTGGCGTGACTCGGACAGGAGAGGGATCGGGTTGAATTTCCTGGTGTTCATCTGTCTAGGTTGTAAGTTATTTCTCCCTGAATAAACATCTCTTCGGCCTATTTGTTTATCCTGATCCTTATTTACCGCAATAGATCTAGATTGTTAAAAATGGAACCAGTTCTGTGGAAGTTGGGGTTTTTTTGGTTTTTTTTTTTTAATTGGTATAGTTAAAAAAAAAAATATTATTTTAAGTCTCCACAGGAAGGGGTTCTGTAATATTCTGTGTGAAAAATGTTACTGGATTTCACAATTGGTATTTAGAACTTGTTCCGCAGTGGTAGCCAAACTCTCAGCGAATTTCCTTCTCCTATATTTAAGCACATATGAATACCAAATGATATGTCCCCTGGCATTTTAAACTGTCTTCCCTTCTCTGTGACCACACAGGTTTTTCTTTTCTTTTCTTTTTTTTTTTTCTTGCTTGAATGATAATTACCTACATATGCTGAAATGCTTGCACCTGGGTTTCTCAGAGTCCTGGTTTGTGTTTTGTTTCTGATTTGGCATCTGCATATATGTGATGAGTTGTCATGGGAATGTGTCTCAAGACTAAACATGAAATTCTTTTGTGTTTTGTATGTATCTTACAGAGCCTTAAAGTAATTTCATGCAATATCATTTTAAATGATTTATTATTTTCACTGTTGTATTTTATGCAGTTTGGTGTTTTGCCTATGAGTATGTCTGTGTAAGAGTATCAGATCCCCTGGAACTGGAGTTACAGGTAGTTGTGAGCTACCATGTAGTTGCTGGGGATTGAACTGAGATCCTCTGGAAGAACAGCCAGTGCTCTTAACCACTGAGCCATCTCTCCAGCCCCTCAAGCAAAATCTTAAATGATTTTGCATATGAAAAAAATAGCATGGAATTTTTCATTGTCATGGTTTCAAATTTTTGAAAATTTTACTTCTCAGTTAGGATTATTCAGATTGTATTAAATCTTAAAAGAGAAAATACGTTTCAATTGGTACTTAATTCCCAGACATTCAACAACCCTTTTCCTTTCTTTACAGTTTTTTTAAATTATTACCCCCAAATGTGGTCCTCTTGCATGCTCTCTGCTTTAGTTCCTACTTCCAGTTAAAATGTAAAAGCAGGGGTGGGGAGGTGGGCAGAAAGAGCCCATGCTGCCAATACAGGAAGGCATAAACTCAATCTCCAGGACCCATAGAGACAGATGGGCATGTGCTTATGAGCCCAGTGCTGGGAGGCATATGGGGAGGTCCTGGAGTTCCCTAGCTTGCCATGCTAGATTAGGTTCTAATGTGAACAACTGTCTCACAAATAAGGGACAGCTCCTACCACTAACAGGGATCTGACCACCGACCTCTCTCTCTTTCTCTCTCACACACACACACCCTAGTACACGCAAATTATAAAATGAAAAAAACAAAAGTAACAGGCAGATGTGCTTGTTAGTTTTTTGGCAACTTGCCACAAATTGGGGTCGTCTGAGAACGGGAAACTTAATTGAGAAAACACCCTTCTTGGATTGTCCTGTATGTAAGCCTAGGGGGTATTTTCTTGATTAATGATTGATATGGGAAGGCCCAGCCCACTGTGGGCAGTACCATCCCTAGGCAGCAGTTGGTCGTGGGCCATAGGAAAAAACAAGCTGATCGAGGGTCAAGGAGAGCAAACCTTAGGCAGCACTCCTCCATGGAGTTCCTGTCTCCCGTTTCCTGCCTTGACTGCCCTCAGTGATGGACTGTGGCCTGGGACATGTGAGCCAGACAAAACTTTCCAAGCTCTAGAAAGCAAACTAGGACAGAAGAGATGGAGAGGTGGCTCAGTGGTTAAGAGTGCTTGCTGTTCCTGCAGAGAACCTCAGTTCCCAGTATCCTCAAGGCAGTTCAGTTCCAAGGAATCTAACCTCCCTCTGGCCTGCTCTGGCAGTGGGTATGCACATGGTGCTCTATCTAACATGCATGTAAGCAAAATATAATACCATAAAATAAGTAAGTTAACCATTTATTAAAGGAATAACTCACCGTTCTTATCTGTGTTTGGCTTCCTCAGTGCTGTTGGGACATTTGCCCGTGCCCTGGATTGCAGCAGCTCCGTGAGGCAGCCCAGCTTACATATGAGCGCAGCTGCAGCCTCCCGAGACATCACCTTGGTAAGAAGACTTTTGCCACTTCGAAGTTATTCTTTGGCTTAATTATAAAACCATTAGAACACTTCTGGAGACTCGGATCTTTCTGACAGTTGGCCCTTGACTACTAAGTTGATTCGGACTAGCTGGTTGGTCAACTCTGAGTCACCTCTTGTTTGTGAGCTGGAACCAGGAAGAAGTGTTAAGGAATAATAGGTGTAGAATTGGGGAGAAGTTTATGGGAGATGTTGCTCACCATTCTGACATGCTGTTTCTTCTCGCTTTGTACCTTTCTCTGTTCATTTACTCAGCTGTACATCACACAGTATTTTATACTTTTTCATACATAAGGGATCCTGTTGCTATCACTATTGAGACTATTGCTGTGGTAACTATGTGTTAATTTGGGGTTGCTGAATTTCTAATAATTTTTAGTGCACAAATACTAGGTTTTATTATAACATTTTCATACATGTACTTTGCTCATATCCATGCATTTCACACATACACCCAATCATCTCAAAAAACTTTTTTTTTTTTTTTTTTTTTTTTTTTTTTTTGAGACAGGGACTCATGTAGCTGAGGCTGGCCTTGAACTCACTATGTAGTCGAGGCTGGCCATAAAACTCTGTTCCTCCTGCTTCCTCTGCTGGGATTACTGATTTTTTGTGCCTTAATTGTTGTCTTAATTTAATTATATTGTGTGTGTAAGTGTGCGGTGCATGCTATGCACATGTCATGGAGTTTGAGTGGAGAGGTCAGAGGACAACATTGACTAGGTGTGACCAAACCTCACACAGCATTACTTGCCCTGTTTGACATGGAGATGCTATGTAGCTTAGACTGGCACTGAACTCTCAATCCTCCCATTTTGGCCCCTCTGCTGCTACTTGGATACTGGCATATGCCACCATGCCAAGCCAGAATGGTGTTTGAAGAAAGCTTTGTTTTTTCCATCATTGCCTTAGTCTTTCTTCCAAAATAAGTTTGTATTTTGGTTGCTTGAAACTTGGATCTTTTACCATGGAGCCAAGAATGCAGATATTATAAACATAAATATTTATTTCTGATGGGGAATATCCTTCTGTATATATATTTCTTTTACTGGTTGATGAATAAAACACTATTGACCAATGAAGCAGGAAGATAGATGAGACTAGGAGACAAGGAGAATTCTGGGAAAGGTAGGCAGACGACATGTAGCTGACAAAGGAGTAGAAGGTCCAGGTGTTCTCTGGTAAGCAAGACCATGTAGAAATACATAGATTAGTAATTATTAATAATTAGAGACAGAGCTAGCCAAGAAGAAGCCCAGTCATTGGCCAACAGTTTAATAATGAATATAAGTCTCTGTGTGCTCATTTGGGACTGAAGCAGTGGCGGGAACTAGGCAGGACAAGAAAAACCACCAGCAATATACCTCCCAAATTATTTTTTTACAAAGAAGATTCTTAAACAATATTTTATGGGCGTTTTGCCTGCATGTCTTTCTGTGGGCCATGTTTGTTCAGTGACCATTGAGGCCAGAACAGGACATCAGATCCTCTAGAGCTGGAGTCACAGAAAGATGTGTACTGGAATCTAGCCTGTTGCTCAGATTTAAGAGGGCCTGGATCTCCGGGCTCCAAAGAGCCTCTTGCCTCAGCCTCTGTGCCTGGCTTGTATTACTTATGTTCTGTTATACTTACAAACACTTTTCTTTTGCTGTTTCTCATAATTTTGTATTCTAAATTCCACAACCTCTTTTGTGAATTCCTGAAAAATTATTCTCTGCTACAGCTGGTATTGACTGGAGCACCGATTCACAGAGAACTGCTCCTTTAGAATGTGGTCGAATGTTGCAGAAATCATTCTGCACTCCAGGATGGAAATTCATAGCCCCAAATCCAGTAGCAGTGTGATTTGCACTTTCCTTTTTTATATGTAGTTTTGGGGTTTGGTGTGTGTGTGTGTGTGCGCGCGCGCACATGGAGGTCAAAGAACAGTGTTCTGGCATTCCTTCCTCTTTCTCTGTGGGTTCTAGGGATTGAACTCAGTTCGTTGGGCTTAGCAGCAAGCACTTTCACCCCTGAACCATCTCAGTGTGTCCTTATAGTTTATTTTGTTGCTTTGTTTGTCATCGAATAGCTCCACGTAATAAGCCAAGTCTCCTGGGTGTTGTTTGTAACAGGGTTGAGTCTGTCTGAAGTGTGCAGTTTTGCGTCCACCTTCCTTCTTGGTTTCTCTGATCTGTGGAGCATCAGCCATGTCTGGAGCATCAGCTGTGCCTTCCTGTCTGCCTTCTGAGTGATGATGGGGATGGGAATGGGGTTGAACTGAGCTTCACACGTGCTGGGCATGCCTTCTATCACTGAGTGACACTCAGGCAACAAATGTTTTCTCTTATCATTTTAAGAACCTGGGAAACCTGCCCCCCCCCCAGTGTTGCATGCTCTTCTTGCCTTGTATAGATGGGGTGTTATCTGTGACCGTTTCTTTGTTGTTTAATGCCATTCTTAGGAAACCATGCTTATAAAACTAGGCATGCACTCCTATTATACTTTAGCAGGTTCTCTCTGCCCTGCTGAGGATCCAGGGTGGGAAAGCCAGTCCCTGACCAGCACTGAGCTTTGTGGAAGTTGGTGGTTGGGGCTGATTTGCCTGGTAGTGGTCTGCAGAGTGAACACCTGTGTCACATGTGTGAGCTTGGGAAGCCACAGTGACTGTGTCCCATTGCTGGTGAATGTGCGTGCCTCAAGGAGACTTGCTCAGGAAGAAGGCAGAGTTCGGTATGTGGCTTATCACTGAAGGCTCTTCATTATACATATATTGTGTTATATACTATCACAGCGGTATATATGTGTTTTCTCCTTAAATATATATTGTGTTATATAATATCACAGCAGTATATGTGTTTCCTCTTTTTGTGCTGAAGTCTTGCTATGTTGCCTGGGGTAACTTGAAACTCTTGGGCTCAAGACAACCATCCTGCCTTAGCCTTTGGAGTCATCAAGATGTCAGGTGATGCCACCATGCCTAGTTGAGGACTATTTACAAAAGATGCAGCACTTTAAAGAGACTGGTTGTATATATCCGTGTATTTACTAGAAGACCTACTTTTACTTATTATTGCCATGACACTTGTGTCATGTGTGGGTGTGTCTATGCCGTGACACTTGTGTGACATAAGTCAGATGACTTCTGATTCTCCTGCCTCCACTCTTATGTGCTAGAATTACAGCTGTGTGCCATTATATAACAGGTTCAACACTGGCCTATCACGTGCCTTTTAAGAAGGTGCCCTCCGACTCTCCAGTGTTTCCATCCCCCCTGTGTGTTACTTTCGTTAGTTGTTTGGAAATCATCTTTATATCACAAACATTATTTTCAAAATTACAGTAATAAATAATTTAAGATAAATCATTCATTACTTAGAGTCTCCAGTGTGTCCCTGGGTAGCCTGAACTCAGTCTGTAGACTAGACTGGCCTCTGCTGGGAATAAAGGCATGACCCATCACACACACCAGCTCATTACTCTAATAATTTTTCTTTTTGAAACAGAAGTGGATTTGGAGGCTCAGGCTGTTGTGGGTTATCATGTTGAATCATGTCCATTCTTGTCTGTTCCAAGGCCTCTCCTGATCTACCAGCTTCCTTTTCCACCACCTTCTGCCTCCTTCTTTAGAACCACTGGGCTGGTACCATTCTTGGTTAGATGTTCTTGAAGATATAGGGTGTGTGTGTGAGAGAGAGGCAGACAGACAGACAGAATGACACCCAGAGCGATGGAGAGAGAGGGCTGGAGAGACAGAGACTGAAGGCTTGGCTTAAACTGCTGTAGCTTCGGGTTCACCTGGACCCTTTAGGTCCTGGAAATGTATGTACAAACTGAGTGGGCCTGTGAAAAGCATCAATTATAGTGATGACACCAGCTGGTACCCTCTCCCTCTACACCCCTCACTGGAGGGATGGTGAGTATTATAGTCATACCATGCCTTACTGTCTTATGGGAACATCATGCAGGTCTCATACAGGAAAGATGGCTGTGGAGTCACTAGGCAATGGGCCCATGGCGCCAGTGTCGTGTGTGGCATGTATACAGTCTGTCGTGGGCTGAAACATCGCCAGGCTGTTGGGATTGGAATTGGTAGAGTGCCAGGCTACTTCTCCCTCAGTTTGTGGTGTTGGCCACATGGCCACCCCTCAGCCTGCAGAGCACATCAGTGTTGTTAGTGACCTGTTGGCTCACTCCCCAAGAAACAGAGCTCTGGTGTTACTCTCCTGCCTGGACTCTGAAAATGAAGTAACTTGGGTAGTAGAGTCTAAGCAAAAGGAATTTTTGTGTTGTAGCATTGAAAACCTGGTATTCTTCAGGTGATGAGCCCAGGGCACCGAACGATGAATAGACTGCACAAGGTTTGTCTCTTTGGATTAGTGACAGGCAGGTCTGGACTGAGGAAGGCTGGCTGTTAGTTCATTGAGAGGTGGACTCTGATATTGGGGTAGCTCCAAATGCCTGTAACACAGCTGATCTTCTAAAAATATGCCTCTTCCAGCTCCCATTCTATGAGCCTGTGGTGTCATTTAATTGTATTTATGACAAAATACAAATTCCCATTGTACTTTCTTCTCTCCAGACTCTTAGTGTCCTCTGGACTCCTGTTAGCCAGTGTCCTGGTTTTGAGTCCTTTGTTGTTGTTTGTTTTTTGATAGGATCTCACAGGGCACTTCTGGCCGGTCTGGAACTCACAGAAATCCACCTGTCTCACTTCCTAAGTACTGGGATGAAAAGTGTGCACCACCACACCTGACTTGCCCTAAGGTCTTTGTGTGTGATTTTATCTCTCTCCTCCCTCCTCCTTCTTCATTCTTACACACCAGCTTTTAAAACTATCCATCAGCAGGGGACTGTATCTGCTGCTCTTCATTGATGACTCTAGCACCAAGCACAGTGCCTGTTATACACATGAGTTCACTAAAAGTCTGGGACTGAATCTGGTAGTTTCCATTTTTGGATAAGATGGGCCTAATCCTTTGTTTCACC